CTCAATCTACACAAATTAGATTAACCGCGAACCCCTTACAAGTAAAATTTAAAAAAGGAAACCATTCTTAAGTATTTGTTTTAGTGAAGCCAAAATTTTCACCGTTCTTTTTCAAACTTCTCATCCACTTGTTTGTCAATTTTGTCCATAAAGTGCAAGCTTGCTTAACACTTTGGTTCTGCAAACATGTTATACCAGCATCTTTTAAGAGGCCTGATTGTCTGTAATGATTTTAACACAGATTTCAAACTTGCTTAATTAGAAAACATCAAAGTGTCTGTAATTGCACAATGCGTGTCTCTGTTTTAAAAACCCTAAACTATTAAGAGCATAAAAAAGGCAGTTAAGTCAGCGAATGATTTGGCAAATTAGCAAACGTCAGTTCGTTTGTGGGGTGGCGGTTAAAGTACTACATTAAAACACATTGAAAAATAAGTGCTGTCGTTAGAAAAACGTTTTGGCGCGAATCTGTTTTGTCACGATGAAAGCGCGACCAATTTTTCAAAGGCAGGCGGCTGTGCTGGACAATTTAGGCACCAGATGTGGAGGAGGAAGAGAATGTTTGGTTTTATTATAATGGCTTCCTGTAGTTAAATGGCCTTCCGGAACTTGCAAAATGAATGTAGGAAAAAGGGCTTGAGATAAACTGTGCTTTTTCCCATTTTAAAATAACTCTAACGCGATTAGTTGGAAAAAGAACACTGCAGAGTTAGGCACTGGTTGGAAAGCTGGTGACTGCGAATCGTTGGTTTTGTCGTATGATCTACACTGCCAACACCTCTGTCTGTGTTCGAACCTCACATTTCTGATTTGGTTGGTCTGTCAGCAAATGAAAACGGCCCGAGTCTTGTGCTAACAGGTTTACCGCAAGCTGATTGGTGTTTGTGACTCACCCTCACTTCTCATTGGTCAGATCAGGAATTGCGTGTCAATGTAGAACAAGGTCGCACGAATGTGAGATTTGAGCCTGTATTAGCTCTCGGGCTAGTTAATTCACCAACACGACTGAATGCCGTTTGAATCAAACTACTGAACATTTTAAGGCAGCATGCCTTGCTAACTAGCAAAACCACAGACAAAAAGTACCTAATTTGGTTAGAAAGGGAGCATGTTCTTCTGAACCAAGGTGTACCCATAAAGAAATGCAGCTTGTCTAATCTGGAATTCATCCCAGTTTCCACGCTTTTTTGAAAAAAAATTCGTCTCAATAGCATGCTGAAAAGAAAGCCAAAGTTGTGGCATCGAATGCTCTCCACAACGAATGGAAGGAAATTGCCGGCAGACCGAGTGAGGGAAGGGAAAAAATCAGACAAAACCTCTGCGCTCCTTTCTCGCGGCTCGCGATTTTGCGCTGTCAAAGCATCCGACAGCTTCTTCTGCCAGCGAAGTGAGCGTACTTTTCAGCGCCTTGTTTAAACTTACTGCAGATAACGAACGCATGGTGTTAGGCGGAAGAAAATTAATGACTTCAGTGAGACCCTGGCGCTAGTGTACTCGAGTTTCGCATCCGGCCCGATTCGGCCCATTCAAAGCAGTATTTTGTTAAAGATTAAGAATGAACTCATGGTATGTTTCTCGACAGTTTTACAAACACAGTAGCTGTCCCGGATGAGGCCTGGCTTCCTTATTTAGCGTGCTCTTTCATCCACTTCAATTGGCCAAGGCAAAAGTCCACATAAATTGTGAAACAAGCATTTTCAGGCCGACAGACAAATGGCAAAAAATCCACAAATATCAGTGCTAACATACCAAGTGGTGCTCCAACATTGCTGATGCTTTGCTTGCGGCTTGGCAGTTGAGATTGGATGCTGACTTTGCGCTTAGAGGTGTTCATATTCTTCACTAAAGCAAGGCAGAAGGTTAAACAAGCAGTCCACTCATTCTTTCGACTCTACCGCCCAATAAAAAATGACAAGACGGTTAATTACTGAACTCCCAGTGTATTTGGATTTCTCGCGGGTATCTGCACCATTCGAAACACAAGTCCATAGTAGGTTTCGCAGTAGTTTAAGGGTTTTTCAGAAAGGGCATTTTGAATTGAAGCAACAAGTTTGCAATTCGAACATACCTTTTTGTCTGATTACAAAGATTAACCAATCAGATTTCTTTCCTCACTATAATGACCACGTGACGACCAGTGAATATATTTACAAATCCACGAATCAAAATGCAACGAAACTTGGCTCAATCTGATGGTGTAGAATCTGAATTTACACTCGACCAACGCGCATTTCCTCTGCAACGTGATTTAAGAACCTAAAGTGCTGCTGAGAAGTCGCCGTCAAGTGATGAAATGGAGTGGTAACTAAGCGATCGGCAAATTTGGAAAATCGTGTCTTGTCTGGTAGTGCCGAGTACACAGGGATCGCAAACGACCTTAAAACAATAAAGGCTATCAGAAACGATAATTGACCAGAATATATGGAAGAATTAAATCAACTTTTCATGCCACGAGGACTGAAAAAAAGGCACGTCTTGTGACAGACCATGCAAACCACGGCTTTGTTCAGGTGATTTTGTCTGCTGCACGTTTGGTTCCGTGGCAGGGATTCATAACAAAGCTTCGAAGGGATTTCATTGTTTAAAAAGCCATGACAACACAACGCAGCACTTGGCTTGATGCCGACGTTTGTCGTCAAATCGAGGTGGCTCTGTACTGGGCTAGAGGACTGTGTTAAAATCATTTCAGACATTCAGGCCTTTTAAAAGATGGTGATATAACTTGTTTGCAAAACCAAAGTGTTAAGCAAGCTTGCACTTTATGGACAAAACTGACAAACAAGTAATTGAGAATTTTGAAAAAGAACGGTGAAAATTTTGGCTTCAATAAAACAAAAAATTAAGAATGATTTCTTTTTTAAATTTTACTTGTCATGGGGTTCGTGGTTAATTTAATTTGTGTAGTTTGAAGTTCGTAAATTAGACGCAGTTGATGTTGTCGAATCTGCAAATGGCATAATACAACCCGTTAGACCAGAATACAGGAGACAGCCTGCTCTCTCGTAAAACGAAGTTGTGTTGACAAGCCGGAGTGAGTGTGCTGCTTGCAAAGATTAGATTTAGAAGAGGTCGGAAATGGCGTGTCACGTGAAGAGTGACGGCCAAGTTCAAACTCTTAATTAAGCAAAACTGCCAAAAAATCGCTATGTTTGTCGTCAAATTGGGGTTGAGGGCTGGCGTGCCAAATTAAACTGTTGAGATTTTGTACCAACCGGGACACACTTTTCAGCGAGGTTTGCAGAAAACAAGTTCACAGGTTCGCCGTCGACCAGAAGTGTTAATTAAAAACTGCCAAGCCTTTTCCCACAGCACACCCACTCCCAATCTTTTGCCTTGTGTACTTCGCGCACTCGTTTGCCTTCTCTTCGTTGTGAGTTCCAACCCGAAATGCAACTCTTTGAATCTACGCGCAAACGTGCGAAGTGGGTTCAAGTGGATGGCCACTGCTTGAACTCCCTACACATCGACTTGAACGAGTCCTTCCAAACACGCACTCCTCACAGTCTTGGGTGGA